GTGTCTCTCACTTCTACTCCATCAATTTTCTCTTTTTGATACTCTATTGCTACCCTTCGTAACAATCTCTATTTTTTCAACAGAACGACTGTACTGATATCCTTAGCTCCGCAACTCAGGTCGACAGAAGCTGGAAACCTAATGTCGAACATTGCCAAATAGAAAATTGTCATTTTCTTTGTGAATTAACAACATTAAAAACTGAGTTATGAATAGATTTGAAATTAACCTTCGCACTTTTTATTATCCGACAATTTCGATTATCAGATCGTACGTTTAGGTCGTATAACTGGGACTATATTGTCCTGGGTTTCACCAATATTCGTCAAAGAACTGAATAAAATATTAAAGCGAATGAAACCTACACATAAATATACCCGGGTGGGATGTAAAATAAAAGTGTTAACACTATTTTATTAACGCTTAAGAAAGGACCAAACATATATCTAGGTAACATGAATTAATGCTTAAGAAAACTGGCTCTTAATTGAACCCGAGGCCGAAGACTATCAGTATGGTTTTTAACCGTTGTTTATTACAGATGTAACACCCTTTCGTGGAGTGCCAATATTAAATAAAGGCAACTATTTTATTCTTTTGTCCAAAGAATTTGAAACTCAGTGGCGAGTCAGGTCCACACAACTCCGAACCCAGCTAATAGCATTCGACAGCCATGTTCTGCAATGACTAACTCATTTCCCTGTAGTTTACTTCCTGATGTAGCTGATTCCGCATTAAGTGGGACACAAAGCAGTATTAGTTATTACGCAAAACTGTATCAGATATCATGAACAAATCGTCTTAATCTTTCATTAGTAACAAATATTGCAAAGCATAAAAGAACATAGAATCATGATTACAGACTCACAAAATGGCGGAGGATGTGACCAGAATCCGGTCTCAGTGCACAGCACGCTGGATTCCCCAACAAGTTGATGTTTTTCGTTGCAAGTGAACTGCACTGTGGACCCGACTTGGTAGTGCGGGCCCTCGTCCACCAGGCGCCCGTTGACGGGTGGAAGAGGCGTCGGACACAGCACAGCTGTAACATTGTTGTGTCGTCTTACGAGAACTTGAACACAAAACCAGTGCCAGTACTGACAGCCTCACACTGTTTATTTTCCATGCATTTTCCATTTTCGCAGCCCTCCACAGCTCGTGTTCAGCGTGAGACTACCGGATTACGGGATAAGCCACGGAAAATGTTGAAGTTTTTCCCAGTTGTCAGCAAATACTGCAGTTTCAAAATCTGTAGGGACAAAAATTTGAGAGCCACCAACTCGTATGCTCACCCAATAAAATCAATAACCTATAAGGGTTCCCTAACAGCTAAATCGCCTTCACGGACATTCATCCTGAAGAAGGCAACAGCAGTGTTTGCCAAAACATTTATAAGCCTTCAACAACAAACGCGGCTAATCCCCATAGGCCGAAGTTTGGCCTGCACATTAAACCATATATCTATATGAAAACATAATGTTCTCTTACAAGTAAAGTACTGTAATTATGAGAAATCATTTGTTACACCGAAACAGCATCTTCAGTAAACTCAGGTTTGTCTGGGGTCGATGATCTTAGCGTGTGAAGTCCCTTCGGCACTTGTCTTGCTGGGTGGTGACGTAATCACGGAGATACCCAGTCACTTCTGCGTGCAGAATTGCTCGTGAAGCGTCCGTCAATACTGTCCCAGTTTAACCAAAATTGGAACACCTTGACACATCTTAGTAATATTTCCAAAAACCAATTTCACAAAATCGCTTCAACGGATCTCGAGTTATTGCATGGAAAGCTTTTTCAAATTTTTGAAAGACACCTAAAAATGAATGGAATATTATGTAACATGACTTAGATATCGAAGTTACAAGGAGGCTCTAATAACATGTTAATATATTCAATAAGTGTTGGACTTCGTAAATACATCTAGAGACTAATGTCAGGCTCGAAAAACGTTGGAGGACTTCATCAGAAGTCTCCCTCGAAATCTTTAACTACTGAAAATTCACGTTCACATCTAAAATATATAAACAGCGTCTTGTGACCTTCAAGACATGAAATATACGCATTGCGTAATAATTCTGGCAAGTTCACATCTAAATGCCTATAATCGTTGCCAAATTGAAACCAAAATTAGAATTAATTTTATAAATTGTAGCAAAATTCTTTAATACCAAATTTCATGAAAATCTGTTTTAGTGGTTTTCGGGTTTTTAAGTTCGGACACACATTCGTATTCCGATAATTTAGTTTCGATCGCGCCTAAAATTAAACACTACTAACAAAATTGTACTCGCTCGTATCATAAGCTAGTTCCGTTAACTTATTAAAAACCTAATCTTCAAGGTTTGTGCAATCTTCTACAAGATTCCTCACCAAAATTATGTTTTACTCCTTATTTATTCTATTAAATTACGTATCGAATTCATCCTAAATTACTTCATAAAAGTGCCTGAAATGTGGTAGCTGATGATAATAAACTTCAAATTTTCTTGGAAATGAAAGAGAATGACACTCAACTTTCTCCTGAAATATTTTCTGAATACGTACAATTAGCATTTACAATGTCGAATGACAGTTCTGTGACAGCTGAAGAAAATTAAATAGAATTTAGTTAACTTGAAAAATAATAAGCTTTGAGATGTTGCCAGGAATACGTGAAGGGTTGGGATGCTATATTGACCTGCTGAAGAACGCTGAGGCACTCATAATAACTAATGAAAGAAAGTTCTCTAATTACTACAAAAATTTACTTTTATAATGCAAACTGGGAAAAAGTTAATACTATTAGGAGCCTTAAGTAAGCGCTGTAAGCAGATTGGCCAAGCATTTTCTTACATTAACTTCCCTTTTAAACTCGTCTTCCCTGTCATGAGCTCGGGTCTAACTATTAGCGAAATTGCTTAGAAAATAAATAACTTGCACCCGCAGGGAAGTGGAATGCACTAAAGGGTACATGGTTGAGAGCAAATTGAATTTCGCTTAAACTAAGGCTTAATCGAAATGTCCATGATTATTATTACTGGAATGATTCTGAAGGGATGAAAGTGCCTGTCGGATTAAATGGAGTTTCGGGGACATCAGTGAGATAATTACTACCCAACACGTAAATCAATCTATAGTCAGGGATACGTTTTTCTTCAAAAGCTGAGTCACCCTGAGAACAAATTTCTGCTCTTAATAAACACAGTTTTTTGATAAAGTGTACATAAAATCTCGCTATAGGACATTGCTTTAAGCCAGTTCAATCTACTTTATACCCCCACACCTATTTATCCATAATTATATGTTGTCCACGTCACTTATCATTTTTTTTAATCTTTTCTAACTCAGTATTATGATGGGCTGTCGAGTTCCATAGTCTGTATAATAAACAAATATAAAATTCAAAGTAAATCTTCATTACCTGTGAATGACGTCTCGTGACTGACTGTTAACTGCTTCCTCCAAAAGAAGCCTCAAAACTTCGTTTCTCTACACACTTAATAATCACATCTGACAACGAGCTATCCGCAGTCTCATCTTGCATTATGGAAATTAGTATAAAATCATATTTTATGAATAAAGACGTGTCAGTGGAAACATATATAACACACAATCCAAGATTAGACGAAAGGAAAGGAAGAAAAATAAAGCGTGAAAATAAAGCGGAAGAGAGAAAGATTGACGCAGAAGGAAGAAAAAATCAAATAAAGACAATAAGATAGTGAAAATTAAAGAAAGAAACGATTAATACCTATTATTAATACCAAGGCCAAAATGTTGGAAATAAAATACAGAGTTATAAGATGCGAGGAAGATTATTTTGCCGTGTGTTCACGTGAAAACATTTTTTATCGTAACTAATCACTTACACGAAAATAATCCTCATGCTTGGCACGTTCCTGGCACTGAAATCAGCCAACTTAATGTAACAAAGCCTTTTTTTGTTGTTACACCGTTTTAATTACTTCCACCTCTTGTGCCTCTGTGTAGCGGTGAAACAGATTTCACGTCCGACCCTCCACATGCACGTTCGTTTAGGCAGGCCTAAACAACATCCACCCTGGCAAGCGCAATGTGCTCTATATACCTACCTCTAGCGTCCAAATAATTTGTTACCGGTGCTCAGCGTGAAGAGAAGAAAAAAGCAGTGGATGAGAATTAAATTCGGATCGTGATTAAGCAATTCTGTGTTTAAACTGGTTCGGAGCGGGCCCATGCATTTGCAAATGGACCGAGAAGTCTGTTTTATGTGAAGCATTGGGGTTAACAGAACTGGTACACAACTAAATAAGTATTAAAGAAGTCGGACTTTCTGTTTTAAACTCCGAGAACGTTAGCGCGAATTGAGAATTTATTACTGCCTTTTATTTAATCAAATAGGCCTATATTCTAAGTAAAGTGTAACAAAAAATTATATAGTATAATTCTGAAGTGTTTCATAATCACGTACTAGTTTTACTTCGCTGCCTGTAATTTAAAAGGACAAATACAATTTGAACTTATAAAACTGACTACACTTCGGAGACTTGCCTTCTCACGTTCTTCAGGTAAAAATGTATCTACAGTGTGGAACCCATTAGGTAAATCTAGTATCAGTGGATACATTGATGAAAACTAGCTTTGTCCAAAGGACATCACATAGGCATTCTATATTGTATCATCCCGTGAGGTCTGAACATTGAGCATAAACAAAGAATATGATTTGACTGAATACGTAACAACCCATTAGTGTTCTCGTTATTGCACAAAGACAACAGTACCGTTACTTGTCAGACCTGGTATGGGTTATTATGGATGTCAATAATGGCAATTATATCGAACAAGCTCAATGTTCCATACTTCACCTGCCTAGGTTCTAATCAACTAAATAACTAATGCATTTCACAGAGCAAGCTACTCCATTAACAGGCAGCTGCTCATCTATTTATTGCTACATACAAACAGATTCGATGATATTGCTGTATAAATTATCCAACAGCCAGATCAAGCGTCAAACTAAGCACAAAGTCTTAGCATTGATCAGACCGATTTTGCGTTACCGATATTATCTTTCCTGTGTTCATACACGCATTTCCCTGTGGTGTCAGAGACGAAACAGTGCGGACGTGGCTATGAGAAACATAAAAGATTAATTCAAGAATAAACAGAATTAGAGGAATAAAAATTAAATTTAAATTTAAATAAAACAAGCGAAATTGAATGTTGTGTCTTCGAGGGTTGACACTAAAACTGTTAACTCAGCCACAGCTCAGAATAATCCTCCTGCATTCATTCATTACATTCTTCACTTTGAAATATACTAAACCTTCGTAAATATAATCTCCGTGTAGAATGTAAAAACATGGCGCCCACCGCGGCTTGCGCTCCGCTAAATACCAGTAGTCCCCTGCCGTCAGTGTGAAGGCTTCTAACGCACGGACAATTACAAATGCGAACGTGTTACCCTGTTCCACAGCTCGGCAAAGCCCTGAAACTGTGGAGCTCCTTATCAGCCCTGATTAATACCTCTACTCACTATCGCACCAGCCAACAAATGACGCACAAAACTCTCTTGCTACTGCACCTTCACCCCACAAAAACAGAGAAAACTTTCCAGTAATATTTCATCCTTTTGTTTGGTTTGGCTGTGCTACAATAAAAATAGCGTCTTAATGGGGAGTCATTTCTCAGCCGTGCAAAAGGCTTGCTACAACCAGCAAACAGATGCCACAATTTCAGGGATCGCGTTCCCTGTTGATCGTATGGGAAATGCATGGTTACCACAAACACAGGCCATCGCCAGTTTGCATTGTCGTCAGCGCTGAACCGAACTACGAGCTGACAGATTATAACACCTACATGTCAGCGGAAAGTTGTGCGTGCCTGAGTATAATAAATATGCTTTCCATGCTGAGTTCTGAGCAATGACAATTTTAAATTAAAATACTTTTGAAAGTTTGTAAATGAAACTTTAAAGTGCATCTACCCACACTCGGAGCATTTTGCACGCGTTTCAGAAAATCGTTCAAGCCTAGGAAGACACATTTTTGTCGAAACCGTAAATAAATTATATTTCTATAGAGTGAACGATCCATCAGACTTGGAAGGTTTAGTTAATATCGTAAGAAATTATATTATTAGGCTAAAGAGATAAACAGCGGAATCTAGAGGTTAAACACCTCCAACAGCAATCACCGCCCTTGGATATAATCATAAGTCATTGTCATCCACTTCCCATCCATACAACCCATTTCCGTAAGGTATATATTAATGTTATCATTTACTCTTCTTCTTGATCTTTCAATGACCGATTTCCAAGAAGTTTTCGAACCAGAATTTTACAAATTTTTTTGCGTTTCTCAAAAGTTGGTTAAAAAATGAGAAATTATGCTTAACCAAACATGAAATAATGACAAAGCAAGCATATTAAAAAGTTTCTTTGGACTGGCATATGCGACTATAGTGAATACAAATTACGGGCTACAAATACAGCAGTATACTAGAGGAGTGTAAATATTTGGTACTGACAGTGTTCTTAAATAAACACAATGCATGTAACTGGTTTATCAGTTCAAATAGAACTATGCAAAGTCTCACTTTGGATCTAACGTCTCCGTTAAGAACAGTGCGTGACGTTGCATATAATGCTAACCTACCAGGAACCTTATTCCTCCGGTCCTACAGATTAACGTTCGCGAGACCTTGGGGACTGGGTTTCAAATCTTTGTCAAAGTACGCATTTGTGTCGGATCTTTCTGTTATCCTGCGATGCTGTACACCATTATCTAAAGGCATTGCACCTGTCAAAAAAATTCAAAGTCGAAACAATCGAGTGAAAGATACAAGGCAGTTATTAGTGGCAGGTAACGTAGCAGTGGGAATTTGCCTAATAAAGTGATACTCAGTCTTTCACGCACAGCGGGCCGCCTTCCCAAAATTTCTGCACTTATTCTGATTAAATAAAGCACAGGCCAACTAAAATAAAGACTGAAGAAAGAGTTTTTTCGTAAGTTTTTACTCCAATGTGAAAGCAATAAATGTGAACAAAAGAACTTAAAACTTGCATTAGTACAGCAAGAACAAAATACAAAAGTAAAATCCTCCCTACTCGCGGGCCCTTTAGGCAAAATTTGCGGACTCCCAGTTCAGAAACTCTGACCTCATGGGTTAATATCTAGTTCTTAAAATATGCCTGTGGTGTTAAATAAAACAAATTGTTTCAAATACGCAGTGACATTAGGCGTTGACATCTGTCGCAAATACTCTTACAAGAAAGCTGTAAAACTCACCCTCACAGGAAGGCACGGGACCCGACCACTGTGCGTCCACTTCGCACTCGACCCCAGGGGGAGCCGTGAGTCGGTACCCCCAGGCACAGCGAAACACAGCCCGCCCGCCGTAGCTCGCATTGTGTTCCACCAGCGTGAGATGCGGGTCCTCTACCTCCAGGTTCGGACAAATTATGGGCATGCAGCGAGGCACTGGAGCCGACCACCGTCCTGACACACAGAGCAAAAATAAACAAGCATATTCAGTTTTCCACAAAACATTTAATTCATGACATTAGTTACCGCTTGCAGTGTAGAGTTCTGGGTCAGGATGAAGTTTTGCAATATGTAACGAAGTAGATGTAATTGCTTCGAAAATGTGGCAAATGTTAAAGTTTATGATGCTAGCAACAAATCAAAATACATTCATGAGAATAATTGAATCATAATAACCAGTATTAAATATTTAAAATTTGAAACAATTATGCACTAGAAAAATGCTACATAGGGACCTCAAGAAATTGCGCGGAAATGCTGCTCGATGTTAGAAAAACGTTGCGAACGAACTTCGATTCGGTACATTTTCACTGACTGAATGGCAAAGCCTCTTTCTTAGCTTCGCTTTAAGGAGCTCAGGCCATAGTGACGGCAATGTAACCATCGCCGAACTACGTAGTATACAACAGAGTTAGAGTTAGTTATTCAGGAGCTGAGAAAGCCGAGTTTGAGGACTTGCTTTCACACGTCAGATGCAAGGTTTAGTTCACTAAACGATCTTTCCAGGCTTTCTGAAACTGGATGGAAAGTTTGAATACCTGCCCGTTCTTCGGACACTAGCAACGTAAGACCCAGAGGATAATAGAACAAGTTCTGTGTGAAAGTTTATTACTTTGATGCCTGCTGCGATTCCTTCGTAAGCATATAAACATACAAACAGAAAACTGCAAATATTCCTAAAATAGAAACAATATTCGTTATGTTAATAGCATGTAGCGACAAGTATCTTCGTTTAATATCGAGAAAAATTAACGTATTTCCAAAAATTAATGTAATTCTGAATGTTAATGGAACTACGGAATGTAAGTCGAACATTTTGGAAGCGTTATACAGCAGTTTCAAAATTCAACACACAATGAGTGCAGCTTATACAAAACGTTATCGTGGTTTCACACCTACGCTAATTGGATGAATAAGGCTACATGTTACAAATGAAGGTACGCCTGGGTGTTCATAAACTTTCCAGGACAACATGCAAGGGTGGGACATATGAGCGTGAAGGGGAGGTTCTAAATCAGGGTTTGACGCTATACAACAAAATATAATAAACCTGATGTGTAAGAGAATTGAAGTTAGAATCCAGCAAAGAGAGATCTGCCAACTGTCACGCACAGTACTCATTATTAATTCATCATCATTGGCACTTCAGCCAACCGTGAGCCTTGGCCTTTTGGTTTTGTCAGCTTCCATTAATTCTTGTTTTAATTATTTGGTTGGACTCCTTGGACCGTTGGGGGGGGGGGGG